GCAAATTACTTAACCTCCCTGAATGTCAGTTACTGAACCCTTGAATGTGGGAGATACAGGTATCAAAATTACAAAAAGTACATGGGATAACGTGAGTGTTCCTCACATACATAGGCGCTGCTGTTACGGCCATTAGATTAACAACTTTTGCTAAAGGCTCAAGTCTACATTCTACAAAACAAAGGGTATCACACTATAGATATTTTAGGATTAGGAATTAATGTGTTTCTTCAGGGGTTGTAAATATGCCACGCAGAGACAAATGGGTTTTGCTTGGCGCTAGTGTCTATGATGTGTGGGTTTTTAAAATACTGTTATTCTTATGCTTAAACACAGATTAGCATTTTGTACTTAATTAAGATCATGTTTTTTATAGGTCACTGAGAAATGCTATTGTCACGTAAATTATGATGACAATACCAATGTGTTACAACTTGTGTAATATGATTTACCTAGGCCAGGGCCCACTTAGCTACGTAACTTCTGAAGGACTGATATCATCCTGTAGCTCCACTGAAGAAGATATTCTTAATCAAAAACATTGACAGTCGGTTTTTAACTTTGCTATTTTAAGACTCTTTTCACTCAGTTTACTGGCAGGTATTTGAGCTGCTAAAAATGTTAATTAGGTTGCACTGACATCTGCTGGTAACACAGTAAATTCCATAAAAATAGTGTTTTATAAATTTCAATGGAGTCACGTAGTTTAATTTAGTTTTTTTTTATTTTTTTAAGTTTGAGTCTTCAAAACTTGTATTTGCATTCTGGGTTTATCAGATTAGGGGCTGTACACGATCATTTCTGATTCAGAGTTCAATTTGATTCAAGTGGCTTGTTACCCTGTTGTGTGTCTCTTTGGGAAATTCATAAAGGCCCAGCAGCAACAGAAGCTTGGTTGAGAAGTAACACACCTTTTAAAGAAATCATAATCTCTTCCAGCAGTGTTTATCACTGACTGATGGCATTGTCTTCTTCCTTATCATTGTCACGTCATAATCATTATGTCTTTTGGTTCAAGAACAGTACAACATTAGTGATGTGTATTAATTGAATTCATATTAATTGTATTAGTATTCACTTTGAGAAAGGACTCCTGGGGAGATAGGTTGAGGGTGTGGGGAAGATAGTAAGCTCCAACAGAGCTAAACTCTAAGGGATTATTTTTTCTTGTCAGGAAGTATAACCGGGTTCCTTTATTTATTTATTTTTTAAGATTGATTTATTTATTAGAGAGAGTGCATGAGCCTGTGAGGGCAGGGGCAGAGGGAGAGAGCAGACTCTGCACTTAGCATGGAGCCCAACTCCAGGATTGAACCCACCACCCTGAGACCATGACCCTGAGACCGTGACCTGAGTGGAAACCAAGAGTTGGATGCTCAACTGACTGAGACACCCAGGTGCCCCTAACCTGGTTCCTTTAAAACCAACCAATTCAACATTGATTTATTAGGGTCACCAAATTTTGCAGCTGGAGAGAAATTTGCCAATCATTTAGTTCATTTCTCCTTTTGTAGATGTGAAAACTGAGACCCAGATAAATTTACATAACCTAAATCATTACCTAGCTGATAACAAGAAAGATAATTTCCTAATTCTCCCATTGCAGCATTCTTTCCTATGTAAATTGTCTTCACTAGCTATTAAGTTTATTGCTTAAACCAAAAATACTTGAACACTCAAATATGATTATTTGAGAATTTATATTTAGCTTACATTAAGTCAATCATCCTGACTTTAACTAGAGATGTGTTACTAAAATATACACTGTATTATGTAATATCGCTCAGTAGTGATTCAGAAATAGGTATCTATCCATAGGTCCTTCCCAGAAACTAAAGCTCTGTTTCTTCAGATGTGAAAATAAAGACGTGCAGATTGGGGGAAAAAAAGAAAAAGAAAAAAAAAAGAGGCAGGAATAAACCTTAACCAGAAAAATTTCTGGCTCTTTGATCAGATTTGGGGTAACAGAATTATGCACCAGATGTCTTATCAGTAATATATGTACATTCCCTGCCCCTTTAGTTTTCTGTCCCAATAGGCACCATTATATGGGATAAAACTTTAACATTGCAACTTGCATTGTGATAAAATATGTGCTATACAGATAAATTACCAACCAAATATTCCATAATACAATGTCAAGCACATTTTTCCTCAACTTGCACTACTGACATTTTGGGGTGCTTAATTCTTTGTGTTGGGGGGCTGCTGCATCCTCAAGCCAGTAGCATGTCCTCGGTTGTAATAACCAAAATGTGTCCAGACCTTGTTGTGTGAACCCTGGGGGTAAAGTCAGCCCAAGTTAAGAACCACTGCTGTAAATTAAAGCTGTTTCCTTCAGGTTTATTTTTGTAAACTACTTAAAATATTCTGATCAAGAATTTGATTTTCTTTTTAAATAAAATATTGACATATAAAAAGAGAAGAAGCCTTGAGTCATCTCTAGTTTAGATAAACACTTCATCTGAATATTCCATTCTGAGCCAGAGTTAATAAAGTGGGTTCCTTAAATTGTTTTCAGTACTTGCATATTCATTCTTGCTTCTTTTTATGCTCCAAGGTATAATTTTGACACAGCTACTAACTCACGACCAAGTTTCTTTAATTCTTGGGCAAGCTGCTCTTTCTTTATCTGTAATAGCTTTGAAAAAAATTGTGTGCTTTCCTGATGCTACAAAGTTCTCTCTACGCATTATGCCCTTTGAAACCAAAAGCAACCAGGGAAATTTTCGGGCAGGCATTTTCATCCCCATTCTCCAGAGAAGGAAATTAAGTGGAGCCAGGACTCAGTGCATGTTTCCAATGTACCAAATATTCTTTTTATTTCATCTACGGAAAGTATATTTTCAGGTTTTATAGTGAGAGAACCTCCATGAAAGAAGAAAAGGAGGCATGGAAGTGAGGAGAAAGGGAGTAGAAAGAGAGAGGGCAAAGTTGGGAGATCCCTAACAGGACAATAAATACTGGTTTATGACATAGCATGGGGTAAAAGGTGATCACATCTCACCACTGAAGCCCTAGCAGCCAGTGAGATTTGGCACCTCCCCAACCTCCTCCATCAAAGCTTGATCCTCCACTCCATCTCCTCCCGAGTCCCTCTACCTCCTGCCCTCCCCTGCATCCATTGAGCATGTAAGTGCACACATAGAAGCAGGCACACACACCTTTGGGTCAAAGCCTTGGTTCTTTCCAAGAGGAACGAATGTGAGCATTTTTTTTAAAGATTTATTTATTTGGGGCACCTGGGTGGCTCCGTTGTTAAGCGTCTGCCTTTGGCTCAGGTCATGATCCCAGGGTCCTGGGATCGAGCCCCACATCGGGCTCCCTGCTCAGCGGGAAGCCTGCTTCTCCCTCTCCTACTCCCCCTGCTTCTGTTCCCTCTCGCTGTCTCTGTCAAATAAATTAAAAAATAAATCTTAAAAAAAAGATTTATTTATTTATTTGGTGGGGGGGACGGGGCAGAGGGAGAGAAGAAAGAATCCCAAGCGGACTCTGAGCTGAGCATGAAGCCCCACACAGGGCTCAATCCCACCACCCGTGAGATCATGACCTGAGCAGAAACCAAGAGTTGGATGCTTAACCACCTGAGCCACCGCCCCCCCGCCCCGAAATTTTTTTTTATTGCTGGGACAAGCAAAGGGTCAGCAATTCATTGCCTATACTTCAAGCCTGGGAACAAAGAGTTTCTAGAAGTAATTCAAAAGCTTCCTAAAGCTTATACTGCCTTTGAATCTTTTATTTGACAGTTGGACTTCCCGTTTTTCAGCCTTCTTAACAGAGTTCTTAACATGGCCAAGTCCTTCCAAATCCTTTGCAAATTTTGTACATGGAAAAAGGAAAGAAAACGTTAAATATGCAGTGTTGGGACGTCTGATGGGAAGCAGGTGCCCTCAGATGTGATACCAATAGTGCAGCGTTGGCAGTGCTTCTGGAGACACCTAGCAATATGTATCAAAAACTCTAAAAACATGCATACTACTGGATAGGTCCAAGTATTGAAGTTCTTGGCCTTATTTTAAAGGAATTATTATAGATGTGCTCAAAGGCAAGGGCATTTACCCAAATGTCCTAATAGTAAGAAATCAAACAAAATGGTAGTAGGATTGATTATATAAATTATAGTTTATCCAATGAAATACCAAATAAATCATGCTATTAAAATATATGCTTCGGAAAGTCAGGAGGAATAGACACAAATATGCTTAGCCATTGTTAATGTGGTGGTGTGCTTTTCATTTCTCCTTTACGCTGTTCTGAATAAGCCAAAATTGCTAGAATGAATATGTAGGGTTTTAAGAATAAGAAAAGGGGCATTTGAAATAAAGACCTGAAAATTGCCATGGTTCTCTGCCCATTGTTACATAGGAATAATTTCTTGAATATCTCACCTGGTGGGCCCAGAGGCTTTCTAATACCTAGGTATTGAGTTGTAGAATTAACTGCACTTATTAGCAATAACACACCCCAACAGCTCTTCTATTTCTTAATGCAAACCACTAGGTAGATAGGACTCCCATTTTTGCAGATGAGGAAAGCAATGCTCCAAGAAGTTAAGTAAACATGAGATCTAGGAAGGATTTGAGTCCAAATACTCTCCTGGCACACCTAGCCTCTAAGTTCATTGCTTTCCTCATGCAGTTTCAAACCTGAGCAGCATCTCTTCTCCCAGTCATTTGGAGCAAGAATAAGAAGTGTACAGAGGAAAACAGTTTTAGTAGAATCACAGCCACAATGCAAAGGTCTCTGTATCACAGACTGAACTTCACTTTGTGATCATATTTGCTCTATAATGTCTGTAAAACATGATACGATTAACTTATGTGATGCTTAAGACAACTTTGAGAACACAAAATGGGAAATAAAATCTGGGAATATTTGCCCACGGAGAACTCCCCCCACCCCCGGGAATGTAGCTAATGCCTCCGCTTTACCCTGAGCAATATATTAGAATATTTAGAAATTTGTAAAAACACGGACCACAAAAACGTGAGTCTGCTTAATTAAGAGAACATCTGCATGGTAGAAGTTTATTTTATTTATCTGCCAGGTGAATTCCAAGAGGCAAAAAATCACTACCAAGTTTGGCCAAAGCACATAATGAACATATAGGTTTTTAGTGAGGTTCTGGGTTCTACTGGTTTTATCTGACTGCATTAAGACACCTACACATGCCAATGTAAAGAAACAACATATACTGAACTAACTGCACATAGACCTCATTATTGGAACATTAACCATGATTATTATTATATTTTCACAGCTTTGCAAATGTGAGAATACAATGACATTATGGGAGGAGGAGGGGGAAGGGGAAGAGGAGAAGGTGGTAGACAGGAGCTTAATTAGGTATTCCTTGCTACTGTTGTAAACAAGGACCAAACACAGACACTATGTGGAACACAGATACTAATTCACGTAACAGAGTGAGCAGGTTAACAATTTACCGATGCAGACTCCCTATAAAATTCCTCTGCTATGATTCAGTTATTTTTTTCCTGTATGTAATCAAAATATCATCATGATGAATGCCTTGGGTCTTTTTTGAAAAAAAAAAAAAAAGCAGCAGCAGCTCTGAATACGAGAGATTAACTTTGTGTATAATACACATAACTCTTTAGTATCCATGAGATAATCCTATGCCCTAACAATAAAGGTCTTTCCATACCAAAGGCTGTAACTTTCGCCAGTTCCTAATTAATCATTCTTTCAGAAGATTATTTTATGTTTCTTAAACAACACACAGTTTATGTAAATATAAGAATTAACATACACTTCTCAAGGTCAGATTCAGGGACAAAATGCACTACCTGAATCCAGTAACACATTTGCTCCCTGCTGCATAGAAGTTGCACATAAGAAACACAGGTTGCACTTTTTTGTGATCCATGCAGTAAATATGCACAAAAATCAAGCAAACAACTAGACATCCTTCAGCTACTAAAATGAACTCTCCCAGTCACAACAGACTTATCAACGAAAATCAAAGCACTGATGGTTGCATCAAAACCATGCCGGGCCGAGTTAGTGCTGGAAAGGGCTGGTTGGAAAGACCACAATGAAAGCACTGGGAGTCATGAGTTTTCCACTTGTTTTTATAAGGGATTGAGACTATTCTCCCCTCACATGGCTTTTCTCTATGCCGTAGGCTTTTGCTAATGAGGCATTTCAGGCTTCAAATGAAAACAATCATCCTTTAGGGAAAAAGCTGAGAAATGCTTTTCTGGAGTTTCTGATCCTGGAGACAACTTACTATAGGTCCTTAAGGCAAATGCCAGGAGTCCAAGAAATTGTAGAACTGTCTCAGAATGTAAACAATAAAATCACTGACCAAGGAGTTCTATCCGTGTATGAAAATTCCTCGCAAAAAAAACCTATCTAGAGAGTACCAGCTTCTTGGTTTTTGAAGTTCCTGTAAATTTTATGTCCTAGAAGCATGGTACATTTTTTCCTTTGTAGAGACTTCTGTAGTGGATAAAAGTTCATGATGTTGCTTAAAAAAAAAACAACAAAAAACAAAACAAACAAAAAAACAAAACACCAACCCTAGCAAAGAGAAGCTACTCAGACACTAAGCAGTTTTGAGGTTTGTTTTTGTTTTAGTTTCATATTTTACTTTTGTGGTTGGCATAGGGAAAACCAAACTGAGAAATCATGATGTTGGAGTATTTTAAGGGCATGCTATCGTAGATACTAACAAGCTTATTTATACAGTAAGACCTCTGCAGAAAGTGCTCAGCTCGGTGCCACATTCCAGGATAGCCACCGTTGGACTCTTTTTCTAAATTGCCCATGTTTACAGGTTTCACAAATACCCCTGAAGTCTTCCCAGTGTTCTTGGCAATGATAAAATTCATGGCAATATCATCACAGTTCTGGATTTCATCTATCAAAGCATGGACAGCTGCAGGTTGCCTCTGAAACAGGTCAAGGTATTTGCTATTGAAGAATGAGGCTCCAATCAGCACCATAGAGTACTGGTCGCCATTTCCAAACCCCGGTGTTTGCAGTTCAAAACCTCCATAACTGTAGACCCCTGATGAAGTAGAGACATGCTTTCTAGGAACAAATCCTACAATTTGATCAGGAAATTGCTGAAAAGATGGAAAAGGAACAATTAAGGGTGGCATTTCTTGAGAGCAGACATGGTGAGAAAGGCAATGATTTATTACAGAGAGAATTAAACTGATTTATCAACTTTATTTTATTCTTGGCTCCCACATCTCAATTTCATCTAACTCCAGGCAACTTCATAAATCTACATCCTGATACATTTGCAGGTCAAAATTCTATCGCAACCCAAACTGCTAACAAAATTTCTAACCTTACAAATGTTCTAATTCAAATGTTCTCTGATATTAATAAAGTCTAGTCACCAAAGAGTCTGGTTCTTCAAAGTTTGCTTCAAATGAAGCTGACTGTATGAATGCTATTTATTATGGGAGATAAGAAGATACAGCATAATTTTGAAAATCTGTTTCAATCTCTTAGGAGCGCATAAAATTGTGGATCTACATGTATGACTCTGTTTTTTCATGTTGATTTCAATGTTCTTGAAAGTCACTGTTGATTTTAAACAATGTTATATTTTTCCCCCTTCTCAGCTTGGGTGTTTCCTTTTTAAAAACATGAGTAAAAAATATATAATGAGATGTTGTCAGAATCTTTGAAGAAAGGATAGTAGTAAAACCATAGAAGTAAGATGAGAGCAACTATAAATGACACAAAAACCAGCAAACAAGAGAAAACCAGTGAAGCACAGAAAAGAAGTAAGAATTTATAGAGTTAAAAGGTTTAGTTCAATCTCGTAAGTAATTTGCGTTTCACTCATTTACTGAACAGACATTAAACTAGGGACGCATACACACACACACACACATCCAAATCAGGCTGGGTTAAATCCCATTTCAAAAAAGTCATCATCTGGGAAGGGTATGATTCAGCTATGTGAACAAGGAATTCCCATACTGTGAGACGGTTGTACGTGCAGTTGGGTAAGCCTCTTGGAAGCACTGAGGACAGGGTGACAGATTTGTTGCTGGGAGACAAAGGGGAAGGGCAGGGAGTCGAGGATAAACCCTGGGGGGCTTCAGAGAGCAAGTGCCATCGACATCATTTAGGAGGATGAATAAAGTTCCACAGACCGCTAGAGGAGGAAAAGTCATAGCACTAATTAGCGGTAACGGGTGAGCACAAAAGCACGCTAGATGTCCACTCCAGCCTTGTCCGCCTGTATACCCCAAATCATTACACTATGCCAGGCATTGATGGGACTGAACTGTAGGAGTCAAGTTACCTTGGGCAATGGATTGAAACTGTTCTTGGTTACTCTTCTATGAATAAAACCTAAAAATCATATTTATCCATTTTTAATTATGGCTTACTTGGATTGTTCTAAATAAGCACAGTTCTCCTATCCCCCCCCAACCCCTGACATTTTAGGTAAATTGATTTTTTTACCTGAAATAGAAATTTCACAGCTGGAATATTACATTAGAATTTTTTGCCTAAGCAGCTTTACTTACAGGGCTGAAAAAACTGCTGTAGGGGAAAAAACTTGTTGATCTTGGTATAAAGTTAGAAATTGAAGTTTTGAGAGGCTGATATCTGCAGAGTACTGTGACCACTTACCATTAATATCTAATGTTCTTATATCCCATGTAGCTAATTAAGGAGGGTTACTATAGGGCAAATTAGACCATTTATTGGGTAGCACAGTGTTTCATTATTTGACAAAGCTTCAGAATACTGGTGTACAGTCCTGATTTCTGCAACTTGTAAAAGCCAGCTACTATTAATTAACACATATTCAACAGCAAAGAATTGTGTTTATAGAATAGTGAACAATTTATGCCTGTTTATTCCAGCTAGGATTTAGGGGAGAATAAATAAATAAATAAATAAATAAATAAATAAATAAATAAATAAATAAAACTATAAATATTACTATTCCTAATTCCTAAAAAGTTGTCCCAGCATTAGGATTAAATTTTGTGGGTGTAATAAATGCTTTCTTTTAAAGAAAGTTATATACAACATTAATACAGAAATACACTTTTCATTTGAGACATGTATCTGTGGCCTTGTAGAAAAATATCTCTCGATTCTAGTCTTTGCCATACCAAATCATCTCCTCATTCTTCTCTGGAAAGTAGTTCTAGCTCTTCTCCCCAGCATATCAAATAGAAATCAAATATAGATAAAAGATACCATAACTTGCAGGCTGGCTTAAATGAACATGAGACATGTTGATTACCATGCAACAAGTATCTATGTGTCTTAGATAAATACTGTCTACAGTGTTTGAGATGACTCCCACATTAAACCACGACGCTGCCCAACTAAATCAGAGATAAAACTTTATACTGATGAATTCATAAAGGACAGAGCAACATTACCTGCCAAACTGAGAAAGCAAAGACAAGGTCTTGGGCGCTAATTAGCGTATCATCATCTACCATTAACACCGCTGAAACGAAAGGAAAAAGAATTATATCCAACAGTCTGGAAATGGAAACAAAACTAGTAATAAACAATGGTGCCCAGATCATTCAAATGAATAATTTCCTGAACGAAATTAGTAAACAAGAAATGTACTCTCGGAGAGATTTGTCTGGTAGAAAAAGTGTTTATTTGAATTGTAACTGATACTTATAATTGCCTGAGAGGAAAATTGTCATGCAGCTCTCATCCATTATCCTAGAAACGAATGAACCTATAAATAAATAAAATTGATGGCCTTCTAAGCAAATTACAATGCTCATGAAACTGCTCTGAACGGGAGGAAAAGGAAGGTGGCAAAAAAAAAAAAAAAATACATTAAGCGTAAGCCGAATGCCATTTTACTACTTTCTGTGATACCATACTGTGTAATTATAGTGGATCTTCATTCACATTAACCTCTTTGTCACAGTTGCAAGATGTACGTGATTTCTTCCCCACAAAACTGCTTCTTGACATCTTGAAAATTGCCCCTATGTTTCTTTTTGATTCCCTCTCCCTGCTTTCTCCACATCAGTAAGACAAGCAGAAGGCCGGAAAGCCACACACCCACCCCGAGCTCTGGGGAGCGGCAGCCCGTGCCAGCTGGGACCCCGGCAGCAACTCACCATTGGTTTCCAGTTCGGGAAAGACCTGCAGTCGATTTCTCATCCTGTTTGTTGTCTGGAGTTTGAAGATCACAGGGACAGGGTGAGGCCCTAGAGAGTTCCATAACTCGTCTGGCCCCTTCTCCCCAACGTTGTTCCACACCACAATCACTTTATGCAGATACGGCACAGCCTGATAATGATTTAAGAGTCTCAGTAAGAGATCTGTTCTGTTGTATGTCTGCATTATTAGAGTAAAGGAATCCAGGGCGGACTTGCCCTGAGATTTTATTTCCCTACGCAAAGTGAGCATCTTGTCTTCCTTGATATTTGGAAGTAAAGTGGTCAAAGCCCCGGCTACGAGGAGCAGCACAAGGATGACCACCAAAGAGAAACGAAGCACTCGAATGCCCATCACTCGTCCGGGAAGTTTGCAGATGTGGCAACACCTGGAATAGAAACGGCAATAAAATACAGTGTTAGCATTCTCACTAGTTACCATGTTTTTGGCTTTGCCTTCTTGAGGACGGAGGTAAATCTTATTTGAGTTGATTAAATTCAGTTCTCCCTGCCTCTTTGATAGGGCGACTTGGCCTAAGGCCTAACTGAAAAGTGCAGGGAATGGACCTCCCCTTCTGGGCCTGCTTGCTTTTGCAGTTGTGGACAAAAGCTCATCTACACACAAGCCGGAAGAATTAAGCAGTGTATTTTAAAATCTGCCCTCATTTTACTATGAAGAATTTGGAACCGACACTATTTTTTCAAATGGGATTACATTTCTCTCAGTAGTGTACTAATTCTTTAAACAGCTTTACTGAGAGATCGTTGACATAAAAATTGTATATATTTAAAGTGCACAACATGATGTTCTTTTACATGTATACAGCAGGACCTTGAACGGCACAGGTTTGAACTGCATGGGCCCACTTAATATGTGGATTTTTTTTCAGTAAATACAGTCCAGGACTATTGTGGATTTTCTTTTCCTTATGATTTTCTTGACAATATTTCCACTTTTCTTACTTTATTGTAAGAATGCAGTATATAATACAGACACCAAATACGTGTTAATTGGCTATGTTATAGGTAAGGCTTCTGGATCAACAGTAGGCTATTAGTTGTTAAATTCTGGCGGAGTCAAAAGTCAAAATGTGGATTTTCGATTGTGCAGGGCGTTGGCCTCATGTTGTTCAAAGGTCAATTATACCGCAGTATACGAAATTTAAAAGTACTTTTTGGTAGCAACCTTTTTTCCAAATGAGATCATAGTGGTAGCCAATGAGCTTTATCCAAGGCGCGATTATTGCTAATTGAAATCATAGGTGGAAGCCTAATATAAGAAACAGATTATAATGGCGGCAGCAGCAACAAACAATTACAGTGGGTTTACCACTTATCAGGCCCTGTACTACGTGCTTCGCACGTCATGGTATGTACTTATTCACTCAATAGAATAAACAAGTAGTTATGAGTGCTTACTTGTACCAGGCACTGTTCTAGGATCTGTGGCTACAGCAATGAATAAGATAGACTCAGTCTCTGCTGTTCGAGGCAGAGGAAAGAGTAGAGAGAGACAGACGAAAAGTAAACTCAAAGACAAGTTAGCATTGCGGTAACGAAGAAAATACATCAGAGTGACATAAGCAAGGGCCAGATCACCAGGGATCTTGTCAGCCAAAAAAGGAGGATAGATTTTATTCTACTTGAGATGGGAAGCTCTTAGAGGGTTTTGATCAGGGCAGGGACAGGATCTTTTACTAGAGCTTGGATACTTACAGAGGTTAAATATCTTTCTCAGGATTAGGAGGCAACTAAGTAATGTATCTGGAATCTATACCCAAGAAAATCTGCTGCCAGAGCCAGGCTGTCCCTCATTATGGGCTAAGGGATGTACTGCCGGATTTAATTCAGGTTGAACTGAGGTAGGGCTCTGGAGCTTCCAAATCACCATCTCTGATAGGACAGGAGGATCAGAAGGTACTGTAATCAGCTATGTACTCTCCTATTCCTCACTGTACCTAAAGGCTCCACCTGCAATATGGCTAGAGAATACTAGGTGAACAAACACCCGATGAATGTGGTCTGGACATTCATGGGTCAAACATTCCTGGTGGATCAGACCTCTCAGTCACATATGTAAGAAAAGACTGAATCACGCAGGCAGTTTTACAGAGACCCAGAGCTCTGATTTCCTAGCCTCTGATAGAGTTCATTATCACCCCTGCTACCTCCTTCTGGAGCACTGTTGACTTTCAGTTGTTGCTTTTTTTTTTTTTTTTTTTTATTCTGCTAGTTCTTTTTCTGATTCCAGACTTTACTTACTCCTCCACAAGCCTCCATAAACTTTCTAGGTAAGTCCTTATTCTGTATTTTGGCAGCTGAGCCTTCATACACATCTTAGCATATATATCCTAGATTTATTCAACTGCTCTGTTCAAGTACAAAAGCCAGAAGTGAGGAAAAAGAATATTCAAAGATATACTTATTTATAAAAAGACTGAAAACAAAAATCAACCAGAAGTTTCTAAACATTTAGAAAATACCTTTAAGAAAAAAAATAGATCTTCGAACTGGAAAGGACATTATTCTTGAGGACTTTAATGGATCCATCATCTACCCTCTCTTATTATTTTTCATACAGTTTCTCTTCTTAGGGACGCCTGGGTGGCTCAGTCGTTAAGCGTCTGCCTTCGGCTCAGGTCACGATCCCAGGGTCCTGGGATCAAGTTCCGCATCAGGCTCCCTGCTCAGTGGGGAGCCTGCTCCTCCCTCTCCCTCTGCCTCTTCCCCAGCTTAAGCGCTCTCTCTCTCCTCTCTCAAATAAATAAACTTTAAAAATCTTAAAAAAAAACAATTTCTCTTCTTAGGTGATACAATAAAAAAATACTCTCATCTATTCCACGATATCGACAAATGTGATAAAACTGGAGGAGACTTCTTACTGCTCCCTCCCAGCCGTGGTAGGCCAACCACGCTAAGCCACCATCGCTGTCCTGTGTAGTACCATTGCCTCTGTACAGTTTAGTTTTGGTTGTTGCCATCTCCTTAGAAAAGCACTGTGTATGGATGCCTAGCCTCTTGACTCCACAGCCTGTGGTTTAACTGAGCACGTGCAGCCAGGCCACCGTTCCACAGGCAATCCTAAGACTGTAGTCTAACTCTTCCCATCTCACAGTTTAGATTCCCAGTGAAATTTCACTTTAATGTCCAAATGATGATGTTCAGTCAACCTCTTGTTTTTCATGGGGGAGATTTAGCAGGGGTGGAATTCAAGTGACAATCCCACTCCTATGATCTTGTTTCACGTGGGGAGGCATGCTTTACAATCGTAGAAACAGTTTCTCCATATATAGTTCAGCAAGGACATAGAGAGACTATATAGACCATGCCTTTAACATCTCCCTTTGAAGTGTACGGGAATGGGGAATGGAGAATTCTAATGGGGCTAGGGGCATCCACTCCATGGTTGGAGAGTGCACTGAGGCCTGTGCAAGCAAAGAAGAGCTTATTCATAAGATCAAGGAGATGGCTGTTGTCATTCAGCAACTCTCACTTTTCAATAGTCCAGATTTGGAAAGCAATGTTACCTTGTAGTAACCTTTTCAGAGAATTTGCAAAGAATATTCTCTCTGGACTTTCTCTGTGGGTGTTCTGTTAAGAAAGGCAATTTTGTGTCTCTCCTTTTATCGTGGCCTCACTCAAGATATGAATAAAATGAATTATTTTTGAAGTAACCCCAACTTACTATGATTATTCTTCAAGGACAGTAATTTAAGGCATTAGAATACAATGTTTTCATTGCATGTACCCTCTTACTAAAACAACACATACTGTTAATGTAGCCAACCAAGGAAAAACCATTATGAATTAATAATTTTGGTTCAAAGGCCTTGAAAATCCTTCTAATATATTGAATCAAAAGCAGGTCTCATAAAACATATTTTCAGTTCTGCATAGAAATGGCTAGCTATAAGCACTCAGAGCAAAGAATCATCCAACAATTGCATTAAAATACACCCTGATTAAAATCTTTGTTTTCATTTTCCACAGCTGAGTAGGAACAGCATATTGCAAAACTCACACAGAGGTGTTTCTAGTTTCTAAAGCAGACACAGGTAACTATCTGGCAATTTTAGTGTAGAAAAAGTAATGAAATTAATTACTATAGCCTACTATAAATATAATTATGTAATTATATTTACATATAATTATATGATAATTATATACCCTACTATAAATACACTTTGTCAAAGACACGCATGAGTATTTCACTTTTACCTATACTTTTAAGTAGGATTTAGCCCTATCCCCATCATAGAAATTTCCTCTTTCAGATAACTTCTAATCTCCTATTGTACCTGTTCCAAAATGTGTTGGGAGATTTGAATAATTTATCTTTAGAAACACAGTGTAAATATTTCATGTGGTACTTATTAAATAATGCAACCCAATACAATTATGTAAAATTTTTAGTCTGTATAGAAAAGCAAGAAGAGCAAGAATTTGTCTCCTGATCATCTGAAAAATCAAAGACCCCCAAATGATATTTTTTTGCCTTATTACGTTAACTTATTAGTTCTTCATAGGTAGACAGCATATCCTTTTAGTTATTTTCATATTGTTATTCTAGCATCTTCTATACCAGGGGTTTTCAACGGGGGACGACTCTGTTCTCCAGGTGATACGCTGCAAAGACTGGAGACATTTTTGATTGTCAGGACTGAGGAAGAGATGCTATCGAGTGGGCAGATGTCAGAGTTGCTGCTAAAATCCTGCAATGGACAAGACATCCCTCCAAAGGGAAGAATTATCCAGCTTAACATGCCAAAGATGCTGAGGTTGAAAACCCTGCTCTACATATACTTTACCTGACATGACGTACCTGAACATGATTGGGAGAAGGACTGTTAGCCAGGTGGCTTCTGAAAACCCCACTACTTTGGTTATACTCAAACAGTCAGGGATAAAGCCAGGGCTCCAAAACTGCCCCAGTATTTATATGCTTTACTGTACAAACACATAAACTGAAGGACAGCTCAGAGCTCTAAGTCACTTCCTTACTTCATAAAGAACTCAAGGTCCAGGCATTAGGAACTTGCCTAGGCTCACGCATGCAGCACACTACCAGTAGAACCAGCGCAAGAATCTAGGTCTCCTGATGGCATAGTCCAGGACTGTTTCCACTGTGTTGTGCTAAATTCTGCAGGAATGTATCAAAGTATCAGTACACAAAACTGTCACTATCTGTCCAATAATATAAATATTTATACTTGGTATGCTGGGGTATATTTTACAACTTTATTAAGACTTATTTCATATACCCTAAATTTCACCCACTTAAAGTACAATTGACTCTTGAATGACACAGGTATTAGGGGCACCAACCACTCCACTCTGCACAGTCAAAACCCCTTGTATCACTTTTAACTCCCCCAAGACTTAACTACTA